CTCTAAAAATCAATGGGAAAAATATCCTTGGGTGAGGATAAACAAAAAAAACACCAATAGCAAAAAAAGGTAATTGAAATGTAACATTATATTTGAAAACTGGAAAACATCATTCTAAATAATTTTTACAATTAAGAATAAATCATGCAGAAATTATGAAATATTAAAGACTGAATGACAATAAAGGCATATAACTCAAAACTTGTTGGAGACAAGCAAAAAAGAAAAAAGCCCTTATGTGGGATTTTGTATCCTCAATGCATTTAATTAAAAAAGAAAAGACTGAAAAATTTTATGCTAGCATATGTACCAGAAAACTATAAAAAAGCACAAATTAAGAAATGAATTCAAGTAAATGTTAAGTAACATTAAAGTAAAATAATCTTAAATTGGGAACATAAAATATATATTAAACCTTATCAAGAATGCAAAAAATAAATCTCTGAAAAGACTTGAAATGAACAAATTGGGAATGATGAATAAGGAAAACATGTATGAAATGAATATATTCCATGTGCAAATAGACTTAGCTATAGTTATAATAGAGATTGAATATACATACTATGAAAAATTATATGCTAATGTATTTAAAAGTAGACATGAAATGAAAATTTTCTAGAAATATAAAACTTCCTAAAATAATAAAAGAAGAAGAAAAACTGAATACCCAATATATATTTAAGAAATGAAAATGACTAAAAGAACACCCTGCCCCCAAACCTCTAAAATCAACTGGGTGATTTTATAGGGGAAATTTACAAAAGTTAAAGCCATAAACAGTTCCTATTACAAACTATTTGAGAATACATACTAAGAAAATACATTTATATGCTTCATTTTATGAGATCAGTGCAAATTTTAAAGGTGATTTCAAATAATAAAATGTGACCTAGTAAAAAATTGTACCAGCAAAGTGAAAATGGTTGAATTTACAACCACAGTAATGGTAAAGTAGACATCAAACCAATAGTAATAGTTGCAAATGATAGAAAACAAATAACTCATAAATTGCAATACCTCTTCATAAAAAAATACCTTCCCAATTAAGTGATTTGAAGGGAAATCTTTCATAATCTGAACAAAATGTATTTTTTGAACATCAGTTGGCATCATTGTACTTAATGGCAGAACTTGAGAAATATATAAATCAAAGGCAAGCACAATATAAATCCCTCTTATCATTATCACTCTACTGGAGCTTCTAGCCAGTAAACCTAAAGAAGAAAAAAAGCATAATGATTATAAATAAAATTTTTTAAAGTTGTTATTTTTGACATGTTTTTAGATAAGGGATACAAAAATAAGTAATATGGAATCAGTAATAGTTTATTAAGATTGCTAGATATGCGTTCAACCTACATAAATCAGTAGCATTAGAGAATGTAGTAAATAGAAGTGTTTTTATTACTTCAATGGTTTTGGATACTAATGGACTAGGCCAAACAATGACAACATAGAACATTTCCTGATTGTTTTTGTTGCTTTTTTGGAATTTGGAAAAGAGCTAAAAGTTAACTCTTAAAGGAAATTTATTTTTAAATAATTGGTTTATGAATTTGTACTTTATCCTTAACAATTGTTTTTTAAAAGATAGCAATAAGTACTAGTTAAATTTCACTGCATATTTTCTTCTTTTTGAGAATTCAATAATTGTAACTATAAAGTTCATTTCACACAGCTGGAGAAACGCTTACATTGTGGTGAACTTAATACCATGACTGCCTTCAGAGCAGTAAATAGCAGTTCATTTTTGGGTGCCTCTTTGATCTATTTTAGAGGCTGAACTAATGACTCATGCATAGCTGGCCTTTCTTCTGTAGCAGTGATCCTTCAAATATCTCTGATTTTCTGTGATTAAAATCATCAAAGACTATTGTTTACAATATTTTAAAGTGCAGAAATATCAACTCATGGAAAATCAAGTGTATTTATATGGTATATTTTAAGATGTCCTGGTAAAGACTTTTGAAGATACTTTCCTAATGCATAACTTTGTTTTCAGTAAACAATGACTAAACTGTGAAAATACTGAAATGATTGCATACTGTCAAAATAAGCAGATCTTTTCTTATAGTTTTTGAATGTTCATTTCATGGTTATATTAATTTATAAGACAAAATTTAAGATGAGTCTTAATAGCTTTTACTTATAAGTATGCTCTTTATAAAATATTTTGTATCTCAAGTTTTAAAAGATATATTTTTGAGGGCAAGTGCTGGGTGGTAGGGGAGGTTGGGAGGCGGTCAATGGGGAAAAAAAAAGGAGACATATGTACTACTATTTGTAATCCCTTAATCAATAAAATAAAATTAAATTAATAAGATATATTTTATGCATGATAGACTGAATTTCTAAATGAAACTTATTGGAACATCATTTACAATTTGAAAAATTATATCATCAATTATTTTCTATCACCAATATTAAATAATATAACTCTTTTAAATGAATATTTTTCTTTTCTTGTTAGGAACTCTATCAGAAAATCCTATATAATAAAAGCCTACTATGCTAAGTGTCCAGTCAACCAGTTGGCCATTCAACCAATCAAAGCATAATATGCTAATGATATGCTAAGGCCGCTCAACTGCTCACTATGATGTGCACTGACCACCAAGGGGCAGACACTCCAACTGGCAGGTTAGCTTGCTCCTGGGGTCTGGCTGATCGGGACTGAGTGAGATGGACCAGACACTCCCTGGAGCCCTCCCACAGTCCCTCCCTGGCTGGTCAACCTCCAATGTCCCTCCACAACCCCAATCCTGCACCGGTGGGGTCCTTCGGCCTGGCCTGTGCCTTCTTGCAATCCGGGACCCCTCAGGGGATGTTACAAGAGCTGGTTTCAGCCCAATCCTACAGGCCAGACCGACAGACCCCACTGGTGCACGAATTCATGCACGGAGCCTCTAGTATAGTATAAGGGGAAGAAATAGCCTTATCTCCTTATCATTTGCTATGCCACACATCACACTATCTCCCATCCAGTTGGTTCCAAGTGAACTCTGCAAAATTCTATGACCTTAAGTGGAAACCACTCATCTTAATGAAATGCATAATTATTGCTATTTTTAAAAAATAGAGAAACTTTAAAGTGCATAAATATCGACTCATGGTATTCAGTCACCACAATATAAACATTTCTCCAGCTGTGTGGAATGAACTTCATAGTTACAATTATTTCTGTAAGTTTATTGTCAGTAACAATACATTTTCTTAGTTTTCTTTTTTTAAGAATAAAACTATTTGCTGAAGGTATGTTTGATTATGTAGAAAATCCTAAGGATACTGCAGAAAAGCATTAAAATTTATAAGTGAATTTAATAAGAATGTAGATTCAAAGTCAACATACAAAAGCAATTGTATATATTATCAAGGTATAACTAGAAAATAATTTTTATTTTATTTTATTTTTCCTTTTTTTTAAATTAAATTTTATTGGGGTGACATTAGTCTACATGAACATATAGGTTTCATGTGTGGATTACTAAATTACAGAATCTGTATATAGCTCCATGTGCCCACCACCCAAAGTCAAATCTTCTCCTGTCACCTCATATTAGGACCCCTTTTCCCCGCCACCCCCTTCCTCTGGCAACCACCACACTGCTGTTGTGTTCATAAGTTTCAGTTTCATATTCCACATATGAGTGAAATCATATAGTTCTTAGCTTTTTTTGTCTGACTTATTTCACTTTGTATTGTGTTCTCAAGGTCCATCCATGTTGTAAATGACACTTTTTCATCCTTTCTTATGGCCGCGTAGTACTCCATTGTGTATATATCACTTCTTCTTTATCCAGCCCTTTTGTTTTAGTAAGTAGCTTTCATATCTGAGATTGAACTGCTTTAAGGATACCTCCTCTCTCTTCAGTGTTCATGATTACCTGGCTTCTCTTTTCTAGTTCACCTGACCAAGTAGACTGGTGCATGCCTATGTGTGCTGCTGCCTGTACTGTGTGTTCTGTGGACTGCATTTAACTTCAAGATCAAACTGCAGATAGAGAAACTAAGTTCCTCCTTAGCCCTCCTTCATGTTTCCACTCCTTCAAAATCTGTCTGCTTATGTTAAGTGTTCCGGAAAGCAACCTTCAGATTAGCACCATCAATCAGAGTTCATTTTTTTTTTTGAACTTCTGTGATTCTTTTTCTTCCATGCACAGTTCAGATATGAGTATGCAATGTGAATAAGCAGAATTTGGATATTCTGAATGCAACTCTTTTCATTTTGGGATTTCCTCCATTCTCTTCAATATGCACAGTATCCAAGTTTCATTGTTTTGTTCGTTCAGCCAGAAATATTTTGGAGTTTCCTATGTGCATTCCCTGCCATTACCACTTGCCCGAAGGACTAAACTTAACTCCTCAAAGATTGGAATTATTTGTACACCTGCCTGTCTCCTTCCCACTGGGAAGCAGGGATTGTCTGCTAAAATATACATGCTCTGTTCACTGTCTAGTTCCTATAGGTGGCTCCTTTTAAGCTAGGTTTTATAGTTATTTTCTGTAAGGAGGTTCATTCAGCTACCTAGAAGTGAAAAACTTGCAGTGGTTTTGAATGGATTCTGCTTCTATTCAGACTGATATTTTTGCTATTATTTCTTTGATAATTTTCTTCTTCTTTTTTTTCTTTCTCTATTTCTGGACTTATTATTTAGATTCTGGCATTCCCTGGCTTAATTATCTATGGCTCACCTTTTCTCTCAAAATTTATTTTACTGGTCTTTTGCATTACATTCTGGAGATTTTCTATATTATTTTGTAGTCCATGAATTAATTTTTTAAATTTTTATCTTTATTATTCTTATATTCAAAAATATACTTATCTTCTTATTTTTTATTTTTTTCATAATGTCCTGTTTTTATTTATGAGTGAAGCGTTTTCTTGACTCTCTTTGATCATACTAGTTAATGTATTTAAAATTTCAAAGAATATTTCTATATTATGATTAATTTTTGGTTATTTTTTTCCATTTATTTGGTCATTTTCTTTCTTGCTACAGGACATCGTCCTTGATTTTCCATTCATGTTTTAAATTGAGGCAGCAAAAGAGCTTCTTGGGATCTTGAACTATTCGGCCAGTGGTTGGCTTTTATTTTGTGAGCAGATGGCTAGCAGATGGTAAATACTTGTACCACCTATACCAATGGCTACAGTTTTGTTTAGTTTGTTTAACAGCTTTAGAGATGTGTTTTCTAAAAATTTTTAGAGTAAATTCTGATCTTTTTATATTATTTACATTAAAGTGGGTGAGGCATGTTATAGGATAGTTAGGGTCAATTTTTCTTAAACAGACCTTTAGATATCTCCTTGTTTCCATCCTTATTTCTCATTTCTATTCATTTGTTCTTTCTATTGATTTCATAACTGGAACTTCCCAGGATTCTTTCCATATTATCTCATCTTTGAGGCAGCCCTCTCTGTATTGCGCTTTCTTCTATTTCTCCTAGAAATTTGTTGTAATTCCTTGTGTGTACACAGACACCATTTTGATTGATTTTTCTATTATTTATTTATAAAATTTTTATTCTTTTAACTATCTACAAGGTGTTTTTTTTCTTCCTATCTCTTTTTCCTACTCCTTTCTCTCTTTTCTTACCTGTGAGAGCAAGGGGAAGCAAATGTCATTTTCAATTGGCCATTTTCAAACTTACTTTTTGGTATGTTAAGTAATGTATGCATTCCATCAAGGTTTTCTTCTTTCTACAAACTAATAAATATAGTTTCAAATAGATATAATAATTCTCACTTTAAAAGTTTTAAACCTCTCTAAGAAAGTGTTTATTTGTATTTAAATATTCAAGTTTTAATAGTCTTATTATATTTACTTATAAAAAAGTTTATTATTACTGTAGAAAATGCAAACATTAATAATGAAAATATAATCATTTAAAATCTTATATTTCAAAGACTAATAGTATGACATGAATAAAATGATGTCACTGTACGTGTGCTTTTGCAATTTTAATATGGAAGTAAATAGAGGGAACTTCTAAATTTAATTAATGTGCAATGTAACTAATTACAAGGGTAAAGGTGAATCTAACATGATGGCTTCGTTTACAGATTAATCAGAATAAATACTATTGTTCTGAAAAGAATTATGTCTGAGAGCCAAATGAGAGAGGAAGCACATTGGCATTTGTGGGGCCAATCCTTCATAAATTACCTCACTGTAGTGTGTATTGTTCATCCTTTTTCCTTTCTAAGAGATATTTTTGTTTCAAGGATATAATGTTGACATATTCAATAAAAGCTAGAGATAGTGGCACCGGTAAATGCAGTACTCACTGCCTCCCACAACCACATCAAAATTACAACTAAAATATAGAACAACCATCATTCAGAACTACCTGAAATCTGGCTGAATGGAGGTCCTATAACTAAGAAATTAAAGAAGAAATCACATTGAGGCTGGTAGGAGGGATGGAGGTGCCAAACAGGCTGGTCCAATACCCATGTGTGACTTTCTTTTAATTGGGAGGGTCATCTAGGCTGCAGGAGCCTTCTGTGAGGAATAAGGGGTCCCAACTCTACACCAGACCCCTCAGCCAATGCTGTGAAGTAAAGTCCCTATGAGTAGGCACCATATCTGAGTCTCCATCAACCTGGTTCATACTGTTCGCTCTTCTCTGGTGTTTCCCTTAGACCCCGCCCCATCCAATTTGTGACCCCACCCAAGCTGTTTGCAGCCGCTTTTCCATATGAATGGCCTGTCCCAGCTCAGGCTCAGACATTTCTAAAATCTTTCAAACAAGCAGCAACTGGTGTCAGCATGCTCCTTGTCTCTCAATAAGAGGCCCCAGGCCTGGCAATACCAGCAGTCTGCCTGGCTTCACCAACCTGTGAAGTGTCTCTCCTAGGCACTTTTAAACATAACACAAGTAGCAGCCTTCTGCAGGTTACTCTGTAGCTCCTAATGGGTGGCCCCAGGCAGGATACAAGCAGTTTTTTACTTTTCATCTTCTGAGGGGCCCCTGAGCTGGTGCAATAAGTGGACAGATTCAGACCATACCAGATTACAACACTACACATTCTTGAGTGACACACTCCAGGGGCAGACTCAGTGAGCACTAAAAGCCCCACTGAAGCAAGTCCGATCTACAGGGGTGTCTTCTGCACAGCAGCTCTTCCACTTTAGTAGCAACTATTTCTCACAGCCAGTTGGCCCGGGGTCAATTCTTCCCAGTGACACCAACAGCAATCAAGGCTCAATTATAAGACAGTGCAAATAACCTACACAGGGGTGCATCTTGAGTGCCCAACTGAGGTGACTAGGGAGGTTGAGCCACTGGGCCCTACAGGACACTTACTACAAAAGGCCACAATACCAATTCCAGGAGACCTAGCAATTCTACCTGATATATAGAAACAAAAAAAGGGGAGCAGTCAAAATTTGGAGATAAAGAAACATGTCACAAAGGAAAGAACAGAAGAAATCTCTAACTGAACTAAATGAAATGCAAGCAAGCAAACTACTAGATACAGAGTTCAAAACAATGGTTATAATGTTGCTCAAGGATCTTAATGAGAGTTTCAAGAGATTTAGTGAGAATTTCAAGGAAATTAGTGACAACATTAAAGACATGAAAAGAGACCAGTCAGAAATTAAGCATACACTAACTGAAATGAATAATAATTTATAAGGAATCAACAGTAGAGGAGAGGAGCTGTCCCCTAGTGGTCAGTGCACTCCCACAGGGGGAACTCTGCTCAGCCACAAGCCAGGGTGATGGCTGCCAGTACAGTGGTGGTGGTGGGCGCCTCTCCCTCCTCCTCTGACTACAGCTTAGGCCTGCTCCCTGCTGGCAAGTGGGCATCCCCCAAGGGCTCCAGGGCTTCCAGAGAGATGTCTGACTGTCAGCTTAGGCCCAATTCCCCGGAGAGCGAGCCTAAGCCAGCAGGTGGTTATCCCCCAAGGGGTCCCAGACTGCGAGAGGGAACAGGCCGGGCTGAGGGACCCCCCTCCCCGCCCCCAAGTGCCCAAATTTTTGTGCACCAGGCCTCTAGTATATATATAAAAGCCAAGCGACCTGACCAACTGGAATGACCAGAATGACCGGGACAATCTGTCACTGTATTGTGCACTGTGGTCAACCAACTAGCCCGACTGGGGTTGTGGCCAGCCAGCCAAACTCCTATAGCCTCTCCCACCAGCCAACCTGGCCCCTAATTGGCCACCCCCATTTGGCCAGCACAGCCCCAATTGGCCCCCCACTCCAATTGGTGGCATGGCTGGCCAGCCAACCTCTTATGTCCCCTCCCCCTGGACAGCCCAGCCCCGATCAGCCCCAGTTGGGGTGGGCCGGCCCAACCCTACCTGTGCACTGGGCCTCTAGTTTGAAGAAATAATGACAGAAAATTTCCCCTACTTGGTGAAAGAAATAGATTCACAAGTCCAGGAAGTGCAGGGAGTCCCAGGCAAGAGAAACCTAAAGAGGCCCATATCAAGACATATCATAATTAAATGCCAAATGTAAAAGACAAAGAGATAATCTTAAAAGCAGCAAGATAAAGGCTGTTCGATACCTACAATGGACTTCCCATAAGAGTATCAATTGATTTATCAATAGAAACTTTGCAAGCCAGAAGGGAGTGGCAAGATAGTAAGGACATATAACCAAGATTACGCTATCCAGCAAAGCTATCACTTAGAATTGAAGGTTAGATAAAGAGTTTCATAGACAAGAAAAAACTAAAGGTGTTCATCACCAACAAACCAGTATTACATGAAATGTTGAAGGTTGTTGTAGAAGAAGAAGAAGAAGAAGAGGAAGAAGAAATAAAAATATGAACAATAAAATGCCAATAAATACATATATATCAAGAATTGAATCTAAAAATCAAGATAAATGAACAAGGAATCTAATGAACAAAATAAACTGACAAATAAAATAGAACCAGAAGCATGGGAACATGGAACAGACTGACAAATCTCAGAGAGAAGTGGGAGGGAAGATTGGGAAGAGATTAACCGAAGAAGTTATATGCATACAAGAGGCCTAGAGCATGAAATTTGTGCACTGGGTGGGGGGGTGGTCCCTCAGCCTGGCCTGCATCCTCTTGCAATCCAGGACTTCTTGGGGGATGTCTGCCTGCCGGCTTAGGCCCGATCCCTAGGGTGATCGGGTCTAAGGGGGCAGGCAGACATTCCTCTTGCAGTCTGGGGCTCTCGCAGTCCGGGACCTGTCGCTTCTTACCGCCCTCTGCAGCGGAGGTGGTGGGAGAGGTTCCTGCCACCACCGCTGCACTTGCCAGCCGTTAGTCCAGCTTCTGGCTGAGCAGTGCTCCCCCTGTGGGAGCACACTGACCACCAGGGGGCAACTTCTATGTTGAGTGTCTGCCCCTGGTGGTCAGTGCACATCATAGCAACTGGTCATTCCACCAGTCATTCTGCCATTAGGTCAATTTACATATTAGTCTTTTATTACATAGGATATACATTGGCTATGGACACAAACAATAGGGTGATGAAGATCTGGCGTGGGGAGAAAACCAAGTGCAGGTGGGTAATGGAGAGGACAAAGGAGGACATCTCTAATGCTCTCAACAATAAAGGTTTTAAAAAATAAAAATAAATAAATAAGAGAAAATGCTCAGACTAAAAAGCCTTTAAGAATATTTCAAGAAGTTGTTAGCATTCTGCTCATTTTAAAGTGGATAGCCTAATTTTTAAAGTATACACAGACAAACCTTTTCTATTTACTAGTTATTATAAATGTATGTAATTTTTGCTTAAGGAAAATCTTTAATCAGAGATCTTTAATCACAGTGAATGTCTAATCAATTGGAAAAGTAACTAAAAGCACTGTATCTCAATTTTAAGTTCATGATTTTATTAATCTTGGTGTTGTTACTAGAAATAAGATACTGTCTAAAATTACCACTCTTTAAAAAGTAGGCAATATATTGTTATTTAATAGGAACTTTCTGAGGTCAGAGCTGGGTCTAAAGCTAGGAGCTACAACTCTATAGGAACATATGAGATGTAATTAAAAAATTCATTTCTTACCTTGCTATTTAATTTTTATATGTATATGCTTTATCTCTTTAATCAGACCAGAAATGTCCTAATAAATTAATTATCTTTTTTTCCATTTTTTTAACTTTGCTTTCTGTAGCACACAGACTATTAACCAGGATTTCTTGAATAAAATGTTCTTCTTGTTCCCATAACATTTTACAATTTAGACTCCCCTCATCTCTGACTTCCTCTGGTTCTTTCTTTGTCCAGATATGCCCCTCAGATCCCTCATTTTTATTTTATTCTCCTCATTTGGCAAATGACAGCCCTGAGATCCACTGACATAGATTCAGCTTCCACTGATAAGTGCATGGTTTATGTATACATATTTATAGCCTTGACTTGATTTGAAGTCTAGGAAAGTATTTTAAAATCTTACTATGCTTTCAAACATCTCAAATTCAACATAGCAGAAATTTAACTCAACACTAAACTTTCTCCTTTTTTCTTCTAATTGGTAATTGTATTACCATTCATTTTATCTCCTAGATTAGAAATAACTGCGTTAACCATTAACTTTCTTCTAGCTTGCACCCTTATGCCTACTGGGGATTCAATACCTGTTAGTTCTACCTCAGAAATGTATATTTAATTAGTTGTCAAACTGCCCATTTCCATGGTATATCACCTTATTCAAATATCCTAATTGTTTTCTCTAACTTTTTGTTTGTTTGTTTGCTATAATTATCCTTCTCCTTTTCTGAAAATACAGATTTGAACATGTTCAGCATGCCTTCACTTCTTCAAAAGCTTCATGGTTTCATTGCCTACATAAAAAATTCTACAGTTCTTACCATAACAACCAACTATTCTTATGTTCTGGTGTTAAGCTATCTTCCATTCCTATTCATTTTCTCTTACTGTACTTCACCTATACCAAACAAAACATCATCACCAAAACAAATACTGTGAGGTAAACATTTGGGATTTTCAATACAGTTATATAGTATGAAGTCTTTAATGTTTGACTTATTTCACATAGTATGATGTTTGTGCAATTCAACCATGTTTTCACATGTATTAATATCGTATTCCTTTTTGTTTCTGAATAGTATTCCATGTGGCGGATATACCACAACTTGTTTATTCATTCATCAACTGATGATCAATGGGGTGCTTTCCAATTTCTATTTTTTCTAATGATGTTTTTTTTATTTTTATTTACACACATGTTTTTGTTTGGACGTACGCTTTCCTTTCTCTTGAATCACCAAGGAAAAGAATTTCTGAAAAAGTCACTGAACTTTAAAAAGTATTGCCACATTGTTTTTAAAGGTGGCCATATCATTTTATACTCCAGTAAAAACATGCAAGAGAACTAATTGCTTCGCATTCTCTCCATCAGCCTTTTTATCTTTAGCCATTTTGTACGTTTTATTGTAATTTCATTGTGGTTTTAATTAGTATACATAAAAATAATGCAATATGTATGGCTCTCTGATGATTGGTAATGCTAAACAGCTTTTCCTGTACTCATTGGCCATTTTTTAGCAGCTTTATTGAAATATAATTCTTATACCATACAATTCACCTAAATAAAGTATAATATACTCTGTAACTTTTACAAGTTAAGTTCACAAGATTATGTCTGATTTTAGAGTATTATCGTTCCTTCCAAAATAACTCAAGAACTAGTAGCCACTCCATTCTCTCCCTAAACACACAGAACCCAGTCCTGAGCAAACACACTTTTGTTTATTTTAGACTTGCTCATTCTGGACATATTATTTAAGTGAAATAATGCAACATGTCATCCTTTTGATTAACTTCTTTTATTTAGCATAGTTTTGTAGAGGTTCATCTGTGTTGCATTATATATCAATATTTTACTTATTTTATTATAAAATGACATTCTAATATCGGGATATACCATGTTATACTTTTCCATTGATCAGTTTATACACATTTAAGTTGTGTCCACCTTTGCTTAATAATGCTGCTATGAACATTTTGCACAATTTTTTGTGTGAGTGTATTTTTATATCTCTTGTGCAAATACTTAGAGGAGTAAATTGCTAGGTCATAAAATAATTTTATGTTTAATATTTTGAGGAACTAAAAAATTGTTTTCTGAAACAGAAGCACCATTGAACATTTCCAACAATGTGTAAGAGTTTCAGTTTCTCCATATCTTCACTAATTTTATTTCTGTCTCTGTTTACAATCAATGTAATGTGTGCAAAGTGGTATCTCATTGTGCTGTTGATTTGCATTTTCCTAATGGTTAATGATGCTGAACACCTTTTCATTAAGGTATTGGCCATTTGTATAACGTCTTTAGAGAAATATCTATTAAAGTACATTGCCCATTTTTAATTGAGATGTTTGCTTTTTTGTTATTGAATAATAAGAGTTCTTTATAGACTCTAGATAGAAATCCCTTACCAGATATATAACTTGCAACTATTATTGCCCAATATTTCAGTTGTCTTTTTACCCTTTTATTGATCTTTTCCTCTTTATTAAGATAACATATAACATGTGTAAGATTAAGGAGCAAAATCCTGTGATCTTATATTTATACATATTGCCAATGGCTAGTTAACACATCCATCACTTTGCCTAGTTACAATTTTATTTTTGTGGTGAGAATTTCTAAAATATACTCTCTTAGAAACTTTCAAGTGGAACCATAAAATGTTGGTAACTATAGTGATCATGTCCAAAATTTATTAATCTTTAATTGGAAGTTTGTGCTTTTTGACGACCTTCACCTATTTATTTTATTCTCTCACCCCACCCCTGGGAACCGCCAATCTATTCTGTTTCTGTGAGTTTAGTTTTCTAGATTTCATATATATGTGAAGTTATAAAGTACTAGAGTCCCAGTGCATGGGTGGGGTCCGGCCAGCCTCTCAGATGGGGGCCCATTGGGTTTGGCCAGCTGTGGGGAGGGGCCATGAGTGGTTGGCAAGCCAGCCTCTCCCCCGATCAGGGTGTTTGGGGCTGCTCGGTAGCTGGGCCAGCCAGTGGCTGCTGATCTGGGCCCAGATAAGGCTGTTTGCCTGCTGCAGTGTGTGTCATAGCCACAAGTCTTTCCGGTCATTCTGGTCATTCTGCTGTTATGGTCGCTGGGCTTTTATATACATAGAAGATTTGTCTTACTCTGACTTATTTCACTCAACATAATGTCATCAAGTTTATACATAATTTTGTAAATGATAGAATATTCTTCATTTTTATGGCTAAATAATTATATATCTATTATCTATCTATCTTATCTATCTATCATCTATCATCTATATATGTAAATATTTTCTTTATCAATTTACCTGCACATTGACATGAAGGTTGTTTCTATACCTTGGCTATCTGTAAATAATGCTTTAATAAACACAGGGGTACAGATGTCTCTTAGAGATATTGACTTCATTTCCTTAGAATAATTACACAAAAGTAAAATTGCCAGGTCATATGATAGTTTTATTTATTTTTTCATTATTTTTAAAAATATTGCCTGATGATATGTTTTTATTTATTTTTAGAAAGAGAATAAAGAACACAGAAAAAGAAAGAGAGAAAGAGAGAGAGAGAGAGAGAGAGAGAGAGAGAGAGAGAGAGAGAGAGAGAGACACAGAGAGAAACAGAGAGATATGATAGAGAAACATCCATCAGTTGCCTCCTGAACACCCCCCTGACAGGGGATTGAACCCACAACCTGGGTATGGGCCCTGACCTGGAATTATCCACAACCTTTTGGTGTAGGGAACAACACTCCAACCAACTGAGCCACCCAGCCAGAGTGATAGTTTTCTTTTAAATTTTGTTGTTTTTATTTTTTATACTCTTTTCCATAGTGGCTGTATTAATTTACATTCCCACCAACAGTATATAAGGCTCTTTTTTCTCCACAACTTCAGTTAATTGTTACCTCAACCTATGCCAATCAATAAATATAATATATCACATTAATAAAATGAAAGATAAACATCACATAGTCATATTAGATTCAGAAAAAGCTTTTGACAAAATTCAACACCTGTTCATGATTGACCCTCCACAAACTAGGTATAATAATGTACATCAACATAATAAAAGCCCCCAGCTAATATCATACTGAATGGTGACAGGTTGAAAGCTTTTCCTCTAATATGAGAAACAAGAAAAGGGTTCCAATTTTCATCACTCTTACTAAGCATAATACTTTAGGAAAGAAAAAATAAATGAAAGCCATTCACATTGGAAAGGGGAAAGTAAACAGTCTCTGTTTACAGGTGACATAATTTTATACACAAAAAAACTCTGAAGACTCCAGCAAATAATCCTATATAATAAAGAGGCAATATGCAAAATAACCCTCATGCCCTTCAAGATGGCTGCCCAGGACCAGGCTGGCAGGGAGGTTAGTGAGGGATGGCCAAACAACTGAACAGCAGGTTGCATGACCAGGCCAGTGTGGGAGCCATGAGGGGTGACCAGGGTGGTAGGGGGGCAGTTGGGGTGACCAGGCTCACAGGGTGGCAATAAGAGGTGACTAGGCCA